GCTCAAGCATTCTGACCTGATAAGAAATGACAACAAGAACGCCACTGCTGTCGTTTAGTCGCCATATCCTTCAGCGTCTCCAGCCAGCCAGTTGCAGAGTCTTTCGGACGCAACCTGGAAGACGGGAGACACCGATTCTACCTAATTGCTCTGTGCATTTCTTCATGCCTCGCTTCCACGTCATCTGTTGACCTCCACACGGTTTCTTCCAACCTGGAGCCGCTACTGCGAATAAGGCGCGGTGAGGCAGACGATAACTGGACGTGCGCAATACGTGTCCTAACCAGCGAAGCTGAGTAATCTGAATTCGATGGGACAACGAATTCTCCATCGAACCACCACTAAATACGCAACGCCCCGACTGAAAGTTGCTTACAAGCTCGCTCCATCCAACCCGCGCCAAACTACGTAAACATATGTAGTCGAATACTTCGAGACGACGAATATCTTCCACGCGCAAATTCGGGGTCTCGCAACCACAGAGTTTAGCTGACTGCACACTGGCGCAGTATACACGAACTTTCAGTCTCAACGAAACGTCGCGTCTGCACCGAAGGTGTTTCAATGCTGCGTAAGTTGCTCGAGCCTTGGAAATGTGGGCGGCTACTTCATTGACTATTCTTCGTCATTTGAAACGCAGCTACCTAAGTAGGTGAAACATTCCACTACAGCTAATTCCTGACGATCAAGCATCAGCGCTGGGGTAGACGACACTCAATCGTGTATCATCACTGCACTTTGAAGATGCAAAGCGCATGCCGAAAGAAGATACGGAACTTGCTAGTCTGTCAAGAGCAATTTGCACATCCTCCATAGATTCGAACAGGCATAAGATGTCATCAGCGTACTTTAAATCGCACAGCTTTTCTCTGGCTGCCCATTCAATGCCTACGTTTTGGAGACCACTTAGTGCGTTCTTCAGTACTTCGTCTACGACGAAATTGAACAGGAATGGCGAAATAGAGTACATTTAACGAACACCGCTCCTGGTTTCGAACGATTTACTTACCCCACCGTGTACCCTTACACTATCAGAAGTATGCAGGTACAGCAACCGCAATAGGTTTACATTATTCCGCGGCATTCCATTGCGGCGCAGCGCCCCCAGAACTTTACGGTCAACTGAATCGAAGGCTCGTTTTAGGTCAAGGAACACTGCGATTTTCGGCCGACGATGTGTGTGACGCAGTTCGAGGACTTGACGAGATCTCACACACTCAGAGATCTGTGCAACAAGACATTAACTAAACCCTTTCGGTGGATCTCTTGTTTAGCACTTTCACTTTCCGTACAATCCACCAATCTATTTTCCATTTGTTAACTAGATGGACGAATAAAACAAGAAGATCAAAACTGGAACACGAGAGCCATGTAGTCATCTGTTATGCAATCCAAAACTGTCTAATAAACTGATCGGTTTGCATACAATCGGTCCACATATGCTGTTGCTGTCACGTTACTATGGTAGCACATTGCATGGCGCGATGGAATGACTGAATGTTCACTTCACACTGGTGGCGTGATTTATACTTTCAGCAACTGATATGTTCATGTGACGTGTATAACGAAAAATGAGCGACGAAATCGTATATCGGTCAGGGCAGAGCGCATTACATGAAATGTGACCTAATCGTGGATACAACTCGTCGTAAATGACCAAACCATCGATTGTGCGCTACATATGGTGATCAAAATATACACCCTAAAGATTACAGGGTGCATCAGTAAAGTAAGAGTAGTTTTCACGGTTTGATGGTATGCGTTTACATTGGTTGCCCTCTATTGACTTTTTGTCGTTTATCATCATCCTGTGATCTGAGAACAGGCACCTAGGTGCAAGATGACGCGAAGAGGACAGCAAGAATCGATTTGAATCATGTATGGCAATGTAGATCAAGTAGAAGTTCTGAGGTCAATCAGTGCATCTGGCAACAAGTGAGACGGAGCGTTAACAGAGATGTCAACGGTTCAGAAAAAAATAGTGGAGTGTGGAAGTAAAATGAATCATGAGATATGCGATATGTATTTGAGGTGTAGGATGGACCCTGTTTGAATGTAGATGCACGCTGATACCTATCAGAAACGTGAAGACAAGGCGACGGAAGCGATATAATATCGCTTTGGCACTGCAGTGGAACATATATCAATCACACCGATCCCGCCTGCCGAAAAACTGACGAAAGGACCCCAATCAAGTGCCCCAACACTAATCGCGGTGGCACTCTTACGTTTTGTCTCAACATATGAGACTTGTGTGTAAGATATATCATGTTTGCCGATAATAATGTCAATTTTTTGTCAGGGGAAACCTAACTTTTTCTTGATAGCCCCCACAGTATGTGTAGGAAATGGATATGAACCAATCACCAACGAGGAAAGGTGCCGGTGTTTTCTCGATGTTATTGGATTGAGGGAATCCAGATTATCGGACAGAATAATGTAACTTGATTGATTTATTCGCATGTTTCCAATTCGAGAAAACTCGATAAATATAGTTCGCTTCTCCATTTTCTGTTACTTCCATTAAACGTCTATACTTGATTTTTGACTAGGATCGTTTTGTGAGGGAAGATTCATTGATAGACTCGCAGGAATAACCCTTTCTAATGGGAAAAGCTTTTCACAGTTATGATCTTAGTCCTAATTTGTTGATTACATTTTCTACTGGTCCTGAAACAATTGACTTTAACCCTTTACTCATCATGAACTCAGTTGGACACATTACGAACACAAGAGAGAATGTTTTTTGCTGATCTTCTCACATTGAACTTTGTATTGGAGAACTATGCACTTTCATAATTCCAAACTGATAAAGTTCAGAATACAAAGCTTTATCGTTTCTTTTCAGTGCTTATTCCAGATCAACTTTACTGTTCTCCTGTTGTTTCTGCATGTTAAGTATAGCAAATGGTGGATTAACGGCTATCAGTTGGGAATCTGTCAATATTTTCTTTGTTGAAAAATGAGCACAAAACTCTTTCAGATTCTATCCATCTATGCATACTGACTTGAAACCCAGCCCCTACCATTCACCTACACGATCACAGCCCCGTATATACACATGTCTAGCCGTTCTATATGTGCGACATTTTTGCCAAACGGATAACAAATTGAAAGTGATTATTTTCTGAAGTTTACCTTCGAAACCTTTTCCTAGTTATGTTTTCAATCAAACAATGCAGCGGTCTGTACATACCAGACAGTCATCATTGCAGCTATGCCGATTTGTATTCAAAATTACACCTTGTAAGGCTTGGGTTCCGAGTATTGTTTATGACCTCTTTTGGTGTCATTAGGCTTTCGTGTTTTACGCCTTCACCAGTGTTATTTTGCAGGCATCAGCCTCCCTGTATCTGTTTCTCGGGTGTTTTCTCACGAGCTTCAACATAGACACACACACACAGTATCAAACAGATCACGATGCGAGCAAGTTTTACATTTATGGACTCAATACTTCCTGTCAGACAGACCAAAACAAAGCAGTTCTTTTTTCCTTGGAGAGCTGTCAGGTAGCCAAAGCGTAGCCCGCAAGGTTGCGGTTTGGTAGATCAATCGAGTTGAAGCGTTTTGCGCATCGCGCTGTAAAGTGTAAATGATCACGAGACGGAGAAAAACGCCGGCAACCCTTACCCTTCGCAAACATTCGAGCATGGAAGATTTTTGATCAAGCAACTCATCTGAAATGTCTAGATTAAAACTATAGATAGAAGTAGTAACATGAAATTATAGTGTGGAGAAAAGTAAGTAGAGGTGTAAATTTAAGGTTGGAATACTTACCGGAGAATGACATTCGAATTGCTCGTAAGTACAGCTCTCTCAAGCTGTGATTACGAATTAGGCCGTCACACAACAACTCGACACCCTCATCTCGAATGCCCGGATTATTGCTCAAATCCAAACTGACCAGACCTCCAACCAGTTCCACCAGACTGATTGGGGTTTGCATCAAGACCAGAGCCATGGCTTGCATCCCACCGGCAGTAAGATTATTGTTTGCAACTGACAGACGCTCCAGACCACGCACACAGGTCTGCAAAGGCTCCCGAACTATTTCATCCCCACTTGGGATTTGTGAGCTGTTGTTTGGACTTCCGGGAGTGGAACAACTAACTGAATCGTCAGTAGCTTGGGCTTCTTCGCCTGTCACTGGAGCAACCTCGGCATGCAAGTCACGCAGTCGAGTACGATAGGATTGCAACAGACCGGTACAGATTACCCGTAGACCATCGTCCTGGAGTATGAGAGTAGAGGGAGAAGTAAAAGGTTAAATTGTTACAAAAGTACGGTCTACTAGCGGGAGCAAAGTGGACGCAGAACAGAAACAACCACGCAGAACATTGCCTTCTGTAACTAATGAATGATGATATCAAGCAACCAACCAGTGAACACCTCGTCGGGTGTTTGACGCGAACTGGTCTCCACGCCAACCCAAGTTTCGATACCAGCTACCTGGCTTAATCAACCACGCACTGTATATGATTTTACTATAAACTTGTGAAAATCGAATGAGAATATCCGATTACATCAGTCGAAAGTAACAATAGTACTGGTCGTCGATCGTGTGGCTCGGGTATGAGGTTTGAAACTCCTATTTCGAACATTTTAGGCCGGATTCTCAACAGGGATTCAAAAATAACGCTCTACTGACGAGTCCAAACAATGACAAAACAGCTGTCCATTGTTCTTCGTCAATCACCACATAATACCTTTTTTCAGTAGAGGGATGTTTAGATATCACAATGGCATATCACTAAGAAAGATGTAATGATCGCTTTGTAGCAAAGATTTCAACAGAAATTGATTAAAATCGGAATCAGTCACCTTAGTTACCGGGGAAAATGATTATGCTTAAATAGTGACGATAGTCGTTATGTCATAGTAACTATACATACATGAAAACAATGAAGGTGCAAGTGTCGTACAGCGAAAATCAGCTACAGTCAATCTCCTGCTATGTCGCACCCCTGAGAAGTCGCATTTTCCAATATATTCCCACTTTTTCGAAAACCCAAACCAATCGTATGCCTAATAACGTACTTTTTGACTATGCAATGTCGCACCCCCCAATATGTCGCAGTTCCTGATACGTACTCACTTGGTCGTTGACCGATGTTCGGGACGACCATTGACCATCCACCCTGAAATGTCGCACTCAACCAATGGCGTTGCACCTAGTGTGACGCGTCCATGGTACTGTTCACTGATTGGATAATCCCAGCGAGCAAGTCACACCGATGCAAGCGATCGGAGACAGTGTCATTTGACGTCAAAATGTGCAAGCGCCTATCGATCAGAGAGAAGCAGAATGTGTTGGAAATGCTGAAACAGCCAGGTGCAACTCAGAGCTCCGTAGCCAAGTCACTTGGAATTTCACGAAAAACTGTCTACAATGTTGTATCCCTTCGAACAACTATCGGGGAATTTTTGAAAGCTGGCGCACCTAAGGAAAGGTGCCACCTGAAAACCAACGAACAGTTCAAGGCAGTGAATGACGCAAGTTTGGCTTGGTTTATCGCTATGGGGGAAAAGCACGGAGAGTTCCCTATGGTGGAGAGCGTCGTACGTAAGAAGGCAATCCAGATAGCACAAAAATTGCATCACAATGACTTCAAGGCTTCCAAAGGTTGGTTTCGCTCTTGGTCAGATAGATATGGTATTCAATCGTACAAAGTAAGAAACAAGCAACTCATATGCATTAATTTATAGGTCTGTGGGGAAAGTCTAGCGGTACCACGTGATGCAGTGGATGAGTTTCGAGCGGGGTTACCGCAGTTGATACAAGGATATGCTGACTGTGATATTTTCAATTTAGATGAAACAGCTTTGTACTACAGGCAGCTCCCAGAAAGAACATTGAGTCTGAAAGGAAAGAAAGTTTCTGGTTCCAAGAAATCCAAAGAGAGAGTCACGTTACTGCTTTGGGGGAGCATGACTGGAGAAAGGTTATCACCGTTGGTGATTGGAAAATTTCCACGATGCCTCCTGGGTGTAGATGGAAAAAGCCTTCCATGCAGTTATAATTATTCAAAGAACGAATGGATGACTTCGACGTTATTTCACAGTTGGCTGTCCGATGTCAACCGAAAAATGGTTTCTCAAAGACGATCTATTTTACTATTTATGGACAACGCCCCTTGCCATAACCAAGCCGCAGTATTTTCCAATCTCAAATCGGTACGGCTGCCTCCGAACTGTTCTTCGATGTTACAACCAATGGATCAGGGCGTGATTTGGTCTTTCAAATGTTCGTTTCGGAAACATTTACTGGAATATGTTTTGTCTTTGATCGAAGATGAGCAACGTATCATGAAAGCCGAGGTGGACATTCTCATGGCCATGCATCTGGTCAAGAAAGCTTGGGTGTCTGTGCACCCAGACGTACTGATCAACGCTTTCATGAAAGCAGGGTTCAAATCCACATTAATTCAGCCGGTGATGCAGCCACCAGAGGATAAATGCGATCTGATCGAGGACTTTACACATTAAGTGTCTATTGATGACCGCCTTTTCGAAGAAGAAATAGCCTGTTTGGAATATGATGAGGAAGAAGTGGGTTATTTAAAATTTTTGTATCAAGTCTCTTTTTAGTCATTAGATGAATTCGTTTCGCATCAAGCTAAGCATCGCAAAGAAGATGACGAATGTCGCGCAGTGAATGCGCTGGAAGTTGTCTCAATCCGAGAGGTGCAGAGGTTATTGGATCAATTGAAGCTCTTTGCCTTGGCTAATGCTCGGTGTTCGGGTTGATTATTGGAGTGTACCATTGATTTAAACAGCGCGTTTGTTGATTTCCAACGGAGAGCCATCTTAGACAGACGACGATTTCTGATTTTGCTAAAAATACATGTTTCTAATCTGCGAAGTGTTTTAGCTTTTCTGTGGGACACTGACCTGAAATGTGAGGCAATCGAATGTGGTCATTTTTTTCTACAGTGGTCACGAAAGCCGCGGTCATTCGGTCTGGTAATGGGCCCTGTAGCATTAACGGGTGAACGATATTCGCGATTGACTGGTAAGCGGGTGAGTGGAGTGAGATGTCAGATCCGAACGATCGATAAACAGCGTCACGCGGACGCGCCTGTGTGAATGAATGAACGATACTCTCACTTGGCCTAGAGCACCGATTAAATTAGACAGGTCACCTGCCAAAGGTCATCGTAACCCGGGTCCAAGGAGAGTTTGTGAGATGCACTTTTAGTTTGTGGTGATTCTCTGCCAACACTTAGACAGTATCAGATTGGGAATCTGTCCTTCCTCTGTGTCGGCCCGAAAATCACGACCGATCGGGTTCATTTATCGATTGGTCGAATGGTTCAGCCGCAACAAGGGCCCAGCTAACCCGAGCGAGAAACCACACCACACACGATAGAAGCGAACGAACGAATAAATGTCTGCAGAGGTTAATGATACACATTTTTCAATAGAAAATCATGAATAGATTGCACAACGAACAATCAGTATGAATATGGGAAAGAAGTCCATGTTCTGAGTATACTTCGTAACAGATATTTCATTCGTTTTAGATGTCATTTCCCGCTCAGTTTATTCGAACTGGTTCGTCTTTATTTTCCTCGAATGGGTTAATATTGATGTGATTATTATAGGTAAAACAGTTGTTTAATATGCTGGAAGTCATATGATCAATTCTGTGGTTAGCCTAAAGTTTCAACAGAATGGAGGAATATGTGGAATTAATATGGGATAATTGGGTCAGAAAAGGTTCCCCTGAAGAAAGGCTGGTAGATTCGGGATAATTAGACACATAGAATTGAAAAGGGCTGAATGCCGGACGCAATGTACCCGTTGAGGGCGTCCTAAAATATTCAAGTTTCTGCGATATATACCAGCTACGCAGGACGGTAGATCTAAATTCCGCTATAAATAAAGAGTTTATAATCGTAACTACTGTGAACAACTAACGGGATTAACCTACTTGCCATCGATCCGGTTTATTTTGTCACAAAACTGTCACCCTATTTATACTATTTATTAGCACCTACTACTGGTGACCCTGCTATGTCGCAGTTCCTGATATTTACCCACTTTTTCGAATTCCCGAGGGGTGCAACATAGTACGAGATTGACTGTATATGGTTAAACACCGATTAAAATTTTCTCACAAAAAACTGAATTGTTTTTCAAAATCGCATTAAAATGATTGCTCGGTGGTGATCAGTTAGTGTTCCAGTCCTAAATCCCCGTATTTAACGTCTCATTTATTTCGATTCCTGTGAGACCCATAAACCATTCAGGTGAATTGCAAACATGCTGGAAATCAAACAAAAAGAGATTATTGTTACTGCGTATGGCTAAGATAAACAGATCATTAACATGCCACGATTCATTCAAATTTGATTCTTCTTAGATCCAGGTAATGTAACACCGATTAGATCTACGATCCATTAACGGTCCTCTTTGTTGCTGTCATCATAACAACACAATTTGATTATATGATAAATCGCAGAACCAATAACCTCTGGCTGAAACCGAACGATTCCCGTCCGATTTGTGACTACCCAATCATGCGCAGTCTTTTTTCAAACCCGAAAACAAACGTTTGCTAACCGATAAAGGAACATCTGGTCATCTCTGCAACCGGTAACCGAACATGTTAGTTTATTACCAAGGCGGTGTTTGACAAGTAATACCTTTTTCATCATCACTGTGCAGTAAAGTACGATGAAGCATACTTCATTCATCCCGGTGAAACTCATCCTGTGTATAAATTAGGGAAGACTGTGAAAGCGGATGGTTAATTGAAATGTTTTAAGGGAAGGAGTACGTCAAGTGAACTACTATGGTCAACGCATAAATCACAATTTAACTCTGTACATGATATACATATATATATATATATATATATATATATATATATATATAT